TAATCATTTGTTTTATTTTTAAACCAAAGGGCCGGGGAAATTTTAACCAATTTTCGTATAATCAATTTAAAATCAGATGATTGATGTTTTACAAAAGTAGAAAATTGAATTAGCATGGATCTTGGTTTAGCGAAGCGTAACCTGTCTGGTTTTTCAGGATACAGCTAGGATACAGCTAGGATACAGATAGGATACAGATAGGATACAGCTAGGATACAGCTATGATACAGATAGGATAAAGATAGGATACAGCTAGGATACAGCTAGGATACAGCTAGGATACAGCTAGGATACAGCTAGGATACAGCTAGGATTCAGATAGGATACAGCTAGGATACAGCTAGGATACAGCTAGGATTCAGATAGGATACGGCTAGGATACAGCTAGGATACAGCTAGGATACAGCTAGGATACAGCTAGGATACAGATATGATACAGCTAGGATACAGATAGGATACAGATAAGATACAGAGGAAATACAGCTAGGATACAGGTAGGATACGGCTAAGATGCAGCTAGGATACAACCAGGATACAGCTTGTATGCAGCTAGGATACAGCTAGGATACAGCTAGGATACAGCTAGGATACAGCTAGGATACAGATAGGATACAGATAGGATACAGCTAGGATACAGCTAGAAAACAGCTAGAATACAGCTAGGATACAGATAGGATACAGCTAGGATACAGCTAGGATACAGCTAGGATACATCTAGGATACAGCTAGGATACAGCTAGGATACAGCTAGGATGCAACTAGTATACAGCTAGTATACAGATAGGATACAGCTAGGATGCATCTAGTGTACAGCTAGGATACAGATAGGATACAGCTAGAATGCATCTAGTATACAGCTAGGATACAGATGGGATACAGCTAGGATGCATCTAGTATACAGCTAGGATACAGCTAGAATACAGCTAGGATGCATCTATTATACAGCTAGGATACAGCTAGGATACAGCTAGGATGCAACTAGTAAACAGCTAGGATACAGATTGGATACAGCTAGGATGCAACTAGTATACAGCTAGGTTACAGATAGGATACAGCTAGGATACATCTAGTATACAGTTAGGATACAGGTAGGATACAGCTAGGATGCATCTAGTATACAGCTAGGATACAGATAGGATACAGCTAGGATGCAACTAGTATACAGCTAGAATACAGCTTGGATACAGCTAGGATACAGCCAGGATGTAGCTAGTATACAGCTAGGATACAGATAGAATATAGCTAGGATGCAACTAGTATACAGCTAGGATACAGCGAGGATACAGCTAGGATACAGCTGGGATGCATCTAGTATACAGCCTTGATACAGAACGTAGTCATGATACAGGGAGTAAGAAACCAGCCTTCTCCAGAGAAAGTTAGATGGTGTGCATATAACAAATTGGTTTGTGGTCAAATTTTTTTATTAAATTGATGGGAGTCATACGCTGTAGAGAACCAACACAATTAATCAACTAATGTCATGAATTTACACTGTAAAGTACACCTCCATACAAAATTATTCTATTAAAAAAACTAAAAATATTTCTTTTAACAGTTGGGGAACTTTATCGCCCTTGAAACCGAGCATTAGGGGTTAATGCTCGGTTTCTGCCTTATAGAAACCGAGCACTGGGCGTAATGCTCGGTTTCTGCCTTTTCGAAATGGAGACCCCCAGATTTGCATTGGAGACTCCAATCTCTTCATTGGAGACCCCATATTTTCGTTGGAGACCCCAAACTTTTCATTAGAGACCCCATATTTTCGTTGGAGACCCCAAACTTTTCATTAGAGACCCCAGATTTTCGTTGGAGACTTCCAGATTTTCAATCGAGACCCCAGATTTTATATGGATACCATAAGATTATCATTGCAGACCCCTAGCTTTACATCGAGACCCCAGATTTTCTTTGGAGAGATCCAGATTTTCATTTTTTAAAAACAAAAAGTGAGAGTTCTCAATGAAAATATTTGTGTCTCCAATGAAAATTAGGAATAGAAAACGAAAAGTATGGAGTCCAAATGAAAATATTGGGACGAAAAGTTTGGGTCTTCATTGAAAATATTTAGGGTCTTAAATGAAAATCTTTAGGTCTCCAATGTAAATTGTGGGTTCAAAACAAAAAAATTGAGTCTCCAATGAAAATCTTGGGGGTCTCCAATGTGAATCTTGAAGGTCTCCAATGAAAATCTTGGAGGTCTCCAATGCTAGCATATTTTAGGAATACAAATTAAAATTATTTTTAAAGGAATTTTAAGTGGCCCTTATAAATGTCCTGTCCGGTTTATACAGCTACATATAAAAGTTTTGTCTGATGAGGGAGGGAACCCCCGGACGCCATGCGCCTCCGCTATGTAGACACGAGCCTCCCAGATTTGCTAGGCAGACCAAGCCTCCGCTTTGCAGAAATGAGCATGCGCAACACATCAAAATGTGCCTGCGTAATACAGGAGGTTTTTTAAACTTGTCTTTTAAGAAAAAAAATTTGAATTGAATTGAGTTTCATGTCTTTTAATCCCTGATTTTAGCAATATCTTTTTTTGAAGTTCAAATTAAATCTAAAAAATTTGTATTTATTATTTAAATCTTAACATTTTGAAAGAAAGGTATTGTTTAAATCATAGATTACAACAAAACTATCAAAGTTTACTCCAGAAATATTTCTCCAAATATCTTCCTTTCTGCGTAAGAAATGTTTAAAGTTTTAATATAAATCTTATAAACCACTTTAAATGAGTCCATATATGTTTCTAATCATGACAATCAATGAACAACTCTAATCTTTTGTAAAATTCTGATGCCACTACGTCAAAAAAAATTGTTAAAAGTTTTCATCACTCATAAAAACCAAGATTTAAAAAAAGCTGTGCTGTATAGTGGAGGCTCGTTTACTGCATAGCGGAGGCACGGTCTGCATAGCGTAGGCTTTGTCTGCATAGTGGAGGCTCGGTCTGCCTAGCGAATCTGGGAGGCTCGATGTCTGCATAGCAGAGGCTCATGGCGTCCGGGGGTTCCCTCCCTAGTCTGATCAACACTGAATAATTTATCCAAGTTTCTCTTTTTTAAATGAATTATTTTAAATTACAGTTTCTCTACAATTCTGCTTAAGGAAGCAATGGGATTCAATTTTCAGAATTAAGTATTTTCAAGTTATAAAAACGACTATATCTTCCAAATAGGTGTATGTAAGGGTGGACGTATGGGTGAATGTATGTATGTTTATAATAATGCTATGTGTACTGCAAGGATGAACGTATTGGATGAAGATATGAAGGCGTGTGAATATTTTTCATAATATTTATCCTGGTTTCCCATGCTGGTAGGTTAACTATCTTCATCAATATTGATCGAATATAGCTAAATAATGCTATGTAGATAGATAGACATATGTACAGATAGATGGATCATTGATGAATGGATCTTTTAACATCTAATAATAAAAAGTGTGTACTTTCACTTAATAACTAGAATTATACATTTTGGCGGGAAAAGAGTTTCAGAAAGTACGTTGTCTCATCGCGACGTTGTGACATCGCGACGGGAGATGATCAAACCATACGATTACAAGGGGGGGTTACCATACGATTACAAGGGGGGATACCATACGATTACAAGGGGGGGATACCATAAGATTACAAGGGGGGGGATACCATACGATTACTAGAGGTTGGCAAGGGGGGGGGGCACCCCGGACTAACCAGAGTGAGCAGCATTCGGTTTCTTCAATTTGAAATCAAACGTGTTTTGGTCTATAATTCAACTATCTTTTAATTTACGGGTTTGATTATACTATACATTTTCATTCAAAATGCATATGCCGACAAAAAAGTATAAGAGAAAAAAAGGCTTACAAATTATGTTTAATGGGTCAAATTGTGATCGAAAGTCACAGCTTTCTGGAATATTAACAGAACCGTTAAATCCACGTGGGGGGGGGGGTATCATACGATTACTAGAGGTTGGCAGGGGGGGAGGATAAACCTTCTAAGCAAACATGTTTATATCCCTTTGAAACGAAAAGAGGGAAAAATTACTAGAAATGGCCAAATTTTTTAGTCAAACGATGCCTAATATCCCTATATTGAATCTATAATCTAAAAGTTAGAATTAAATATAAAAGGAAATTTAAAATACATAATTTAACGTGAAATATTATTTACGAAATTGATTAGATGTATTGGCTTGAATATGGAAAGAGGATTTGATGTATTGGCTTGAATATGGAAAGAGGATTAGATGTATTGGCTTGAATATGGAAAGAGGATTAGATGTATTGGCTTGAATATGGAAAGAGGATTAGATGTATTGGCTTGAAAATGGAATGAGGATTTGATGTATTGGCTTGAATATGGAAAGAGGATTAAATGGCAGAAATAAAGGAAGAGAGAAGAGAATGGTAGAGGAACTGCAGGGATTAAGAAAAAAACAGTAAAGGAATTCTTAAAATTTTTGCCATTATTTATATTTAAAAAGTTGTAATATCTGCCTATCTGTTTGTGTGTCTGATCATAACTCAGGAACCCCCTAGTATATATTAGATCTATATATATCAAGTAGTAATCTATGTCTGTCTGTTTGTTTGGATCACGATCATAACTCAGAAACCTCTTGACCGATTGGCCTCAAATTTTGATTGGGGAACTCGGGAGAACCGGGGGAATGTTCTAAGCTTGGATTTGAGATTTTAAGTTGAGTGGGTCCACATTTATAGGGAACAAAGATTAAATTGTAGTTTACGACAAAGCGCGGGTAAACGGCAGGAGTAACTATGAGTACCCTGGGCAACGCTGGGTTTTCAAACTAACATATATTAATATATTTATATAGTATATTTATTATAAATATACTATGGATATATTATATACATTTATATATATAAAAATTTATGCTGGCTTGGTGTTTAATTGATGGGAAGAGAGAAAGAGTAGAATGATGACGGAGACCGGAGACTGCCCCGGTATAGGTCTCCGCTGCGCCACCAGAGAAAAGGGATCTTCACAGCATGTGGGTTTATTGGGACAAGTGGGTACCAATTATACAGTTGAATAGAATACAGCTAGCTGGCAGAACACACCAATTGAACTAATCAGACAAATTCTCACTTTTATTCAACACATTATTGAGAATTTCGTGTCTATTGCTGGGTTTTAAATGATTGGCAGTGACGAAGTTCAGTCGGAAACTGACCTTTCCATAAACAACACTTTATCTAACCTTGGAATTAACAATGGTCTTTCCAATTTACCTGATCTGCTTAATATTACTTCATCGTCTCTATCCCTCCATACTCATTCTATATATACAAACCCTTCCCTATACCATTCCCAGGACGGATCTAGCTCCCCCTGCAGCTCTATACCTCCGCTCCCAGGTATTGAAACCTTCTGTCAAAATGATGACAATGATACAATGATTTCCCAATCCCCTGAGAGTTATCTGTCCTCCTACCTACCCTGGACGATATCTACAGACCCAGGACCTCCCCCTGCAATACTTCAGACCCTTCAACCGATCAAACCTGAGTTTCTTTCTCCCTTTGATCGGAGTGATCAGATGCAAACCTTGCCTCCTTTCAGGTTCGAATCTCATGATCCATCTCGACAGCTTCATCTCCCGGACTCCAGGCAGCTTCATCTACCGGATATATCAAAAACATCTTTAAACACGGTTTCATCTACAACTAAATCAGGTTCAGAATAATCTAATAATCATTGTCTTGAGAAAAATATTAAAAAATTCTAAATGTTTTTGTGAAATAAAAACGAACTATGTTTGCACAAGAGGAGCTGCAGATCACTAACCTCAAATTTCAATTTTTATTCCGCTATTTTTTTGTGCAATGGTGAAAATCTTTTACATTTTTATCTGGCAGAATCAGGTTGCAAAGAGATAAGGATAAGAAAATTAGAGTATGATGAAAGCGCTCTACCAGTTCCTTTCTTTACTCATTCTTATAAAGTAATTTCCCAGTAAAGTTAGATATTATATACACATTGAAGTCTAAAAGAATTAATATTTTAATTGATATTTGAAATTAACACTGTTTAATCCAGCAAAATAAATAGCAAATAGGTCTACAACATTGGGTTTCCAAAATATAACATTTTATCAAACAGAAGTTATAGTTTGGAATATTTTAGTTCTACAACTTTGGGTTGCAAAGATATTGGGATTAGAAAATCAGAGTTTATAGCAAGTACTTAATTCCTTTGTTTTAACAAATTTCTATTATTTTTAGAAAATACTAACATTCAGAACTTCAAGGTGTATATTGCATATTTCAATACTATTTTATGAAAGATACAATTCTAAACTAAAAAGATACAATTTTAAACTAAAAAGATACAATTTTAAACTAAAAAGATACAATTTTAAACTAAAAAGATACAATTTTAAACTAAAAAATGGCCGGATCTTAAAAATGAACGGCTTGAATTTCTCCAACTGTTAATTAGGCTTATTAAATTAGGTTTTTAACAAAGCCAATATTGGTTCAAATAATATAATTATATATCTCCATGAGATCTTGTTCAAAGGACAAAACATATAATTATTTGAAGGAACTGTAGACGTAATTGCAGATAATATAATCACATATCTTCATGAGATCTTGTTCAAAGGACAAAACATATCATTATTTATAGGAACTGTAGACGTAATTGCAAATAACCCTCCATGTATAGTGTGACATGTCCGATTGACAACGGTTTCCTTTTCCTTTTCTATTTTTGTATCTTCCTGACTTTTCTTTGCTACATAAATGTGCGAATCGGTTTTAAGAAAAATCACCATAAAAATAATCAATTTTCATACCGGAAAACAAACATTTCTCATTCATCCTTTTCAGATAAAATTTACTATTCTGAATCTGACATGCCATTTTTTTATTTAGTCTTCTATGGTACCTTTTAAAATTACTAATTATGTTGAAATATAAAAATACGCCGCTAAAATTTTGACCAATTTATTGTTTTCAGTCGAAAAGGAACTGAGTTTTTGCCACAAACTCAGATTTTCTAATTCCTATAACTTAGAAACCCGTTTTTCTAGACCTTTGATATTTCAAGCTATTAATTCTGGTAGATCAAATAGTCTAAGTTTGAAATAAAAATTGTTTACACCATCAGTTTGCAAAGATATTGGGGTTAGAAAATGTAAGTTTGTTGCAAAAACTCAATTCCTTTATCAATTTATACAGGCATTGAGCCTCAAAACCTTTGATTTTTCAAAAGGTCTTTTTGATTTTTTTGGGGTGGGGAGGGGGGATGTTATCTTCAGCCCCCCCCCCCGTACTTCCAGGGTTAAATCTCCAATTGAAGTTTGAAAAAGAATTTGACAGTTGTTGCAAATTCATGTTAGATCTGATTCATGTTTTGTAAACGGAGAAAACATGGCGGAGAGTAGAGTACACTAAGCTACCTCAATTATCCAATTTAAATAATTGTTTCCAAATTCTAACTTCAGATTTAAACATGGAATCTGAAATATAGGTGAAGAAACATGTTTCATGTGTTTCAAATTCTATTTAAATGATCATGTAAAGGAATACTCTAATTTTCTAATCTCTATATTTTTGCAACCTAATAGTGTATATATTTTATATTTTATACAAAATGCATGGCTTAGAATGTTATAGATTAGAAGCATCAGATTGCAAAGAAATGGGATGTTAGAATTTGTTGCGAGTTTTAAACGTTCCTTCGAATGTATGATATTTTCAATGGAAACAAAAAAGAAAGAAAGAGAAAAAAATATTTAGATTATTATCAATTTAACAAAATTCAATGTTACAAACCAAACTTGTTTTACCCCATGGAGATATAATTTCTTTTCATTCTTACAGGTTGTAGTTCGCTCTATTTTCCCTTATTTTAGCTTTCAGATAGCATTTTTTGTCTATATAATTTTAGCCACATTTTCAGAAACCTTAGGGTTACACAGTTATACACTACATATGAAACAGACATCGATAGGGAAGGAAAAATAAAAATCGACTCATCTTAATTAGAATTGTTTATTTAATTAAAGTTATTTTTCTAGTAAAACCCCGGAAAGAGAAGAAGAAGGATGGACCGAAAAAGAAGAAAACAAGGACGACATTTACAGCTTATCAGCTGGAGGAACTAGAACGGGCCTTTGAACGAGCTCCGTATCCGGATGTTTTCGCCAGGTAAAAAAAATAAATAAAGAACACAGGGGCATATACAAAATGGGGCTGACAATGAAATCCCCCTGGATAAGTGAAAACTACAGGGAGTAAGGAATAGAAGGGAGATATAACTGACGCGGTTCGCCCTACCATATGATTATGCATGCTTTGCAGACGGGTACTCCATTTGTATGAAAATATTCAAAATAGGTTATTTTATACGCGGTAATTGTACATCAGACAAATATTTCTTATACAATGGATTACCCGGCTGCAAAGCCTGTATAATCATATGGTAGGGCGGNGGGGGGGGGGTGTTAATGAAAAAAATGCAAGAGCGCTTTGCCCTCCCCTGTTTTTTCTGAGTAGGGAAAAATTGAGCCCCCATCCCAACTGGACAAAATCCTGTGTACGCCCGTGAATGATCTCCTAAACTATGCGGAATGTGAAGACGATCAAAACTCTAAATGGAAACTTCACTGCTGGGATTTTTCTTTTGTTCTTAGTACATTTTTGCAATTAAGAATCCGTTCAACCTATTCGACGTAGATTGGAAACAAAACCAAAATATTAATTAAAATAACGGCAGTTGATATGGTGCACTCTTTCTCTGCTTAAATAATTGGACAAATTTCTAGAAACTAGATTAAAATCTTCAATTCACGATAACCTAAGTAGAGCTGCAAATGCCAAATATATTGCCTACCATAACGATTAGAAAGTTCAGCATTATGTTAAAAAAGTGAACGTTTGGTTTCCACGAAATGTAAATATTTTGCGCTATTATTGCGAAAATATTATGTCCAGTATGTATTGTATACCGCGCGATCATAAAACTCGAACACAATTGTGTATAACAGAACTGCGCCAAAGAAAATAGCACAATTCTGCACTAAATGTGCTTAATTCTGTGTGCTTTTTTTTTCGTGGAAAATGTTCACACAACGCAAGCAAAATTTTGCGTTTCTGTCCGCAAAAATTGTGCAAACGTTCTTCGAATTGAAACCATGTGAGAAAATGGTTCAAAGAGTACAAATGAGACTAAAATGGCGTAATAATATAATTTATTATAAACAAATCAAAAAGCTAGTTGTTATAGAATAGGTGTTGAAACATCCTATATTTTTTATGTTGCGTGTGTTAAAAAAGTTAACTGGTTAGAAGTGACAGTTCGCTAAAGATGTGTTCTAGAGCTTGGATATGCGTGAGTTGGAAAGATCAAGATTAATGAAGTATTTAAATATTATTTTACTCTAGGGAAGAACTAGCCTGTAAACTATCCTTAAGTGAAGCTAGAGTTCAGGTACATTCATTCATTCATTCATCTTTATTAACGGGTCTGGTCTGATATTAAAGCAAGAAGTATTTTTTTATATTTCTTTTGTCTTTCTGATAAAGGTGATTTATAGGAATTTTGTGTCTTACACTTGGCCACAATCTCTGATTTTCTAATTCCTACATCTGTAGAACTCAATACAGTAGAGCTTAAATACTTTAAGAAATGAATTATGTTAGATCGAAAAATCTATAAAGTTTCAAATATGAAGGGTTTTCTGATTAGGTTGCAATTAGATATTGAGATTTAAAAATTTGAGTTTGGGCATAGACTCAATTTCTTTAATTTAAAAGTTTTTAGTTATTCCTATCATTATGTCCTTGATTTTTATTTGATTCCATTAAATGGATATTTTTTAACCAATTAGAAGTAAAAAAGTAGAAAATAATATTTGAAAATATTTTTGTCAGGTTTGGTTCCAGAATCGTCGAGCTAAATGGAGAAAAAGGGAACCTCCGAGGAAAACTGGAATATATTTCGGAACATCTTGTAAGTTAAAGGGACTGTAAGCGTAATGTCAAGTGATCCTCCAGGCAAGAATAGCATAACCCGATTCACAACGGTACCCTTGAAACCGTTATCGTATCAATAATGTGTCTTTTTTCTAGGTTTAATAGTGTTTGGTTCAGGCAATTCTTAAATGTCTTCTTGCACAAGTTACTTTTGCATAGAAATATCTAGTTCATTCTTGACAGACAAAGCTGTTAAGGGTACCATTGTGAATCGGGTATTGCCATCTTTGCATGGCCGGAGGATGACATAAATATACGCTTACAGTCCTTTTCAGGAGCGGTCAATCCAACTGTAATGACGAGCAAAAATGGCCCATTTTTTCCTCCCATCATTCCAGATAAAAATAAACAACGATTCTTATGGCATTGTCTCTTGAATACAACTCTAAAGGATACATTTCAAGTTAGACTAAGCGGAGTTGTGTCGAACTTTATTGATTTGTCCAGGGGTAAATATTTTTATTCCCGAAGAATTTGTGGAAAACTGTAAAATAATACATTAATGGACAAGTTTCTCAATCCTGTTTTGATACTTTCTAAAATCATTAAATTTTACTAAATCTGGGAGAATTAATTAAACCTTTTAACTTTCAGCATCGTAATGAAAGAATACCTTTTTTTTCTCAGAAAATTGTAAAATTTTAGAAGGGCAAGGTCATTTTTTATTGCATAGCTTCGTTCGTGTTTTTAAATTGTAGGATCATTACCAAATAGGTTAGGTTAAGTCGAAGTAAATTTTGACATGAATAAAAACATAATTTGAAACATTATGCTGCAGAAGTTTTATATTTGAAAGAGAAGATGATCATTAAATTCATTTATTTGGTTTTGTTTAGTATATTCAAGTTCTGTTGGTTTCCTACCCCCGAACATGTCTCATCAATACGACCCGGAGCCTTGGTTCCAGCAACCCAACCCGTCCTTTGATCCAGGATACTACATGCATATACCCTCATCCTTCCCAGACCAATACATGGAGGCAGTCGGCAGTATTGACGAGGTGGAACAGGATACAGGCTTAGTAACCTCAGAAGAGGATTTAACTAGGTTAGAGAATGCAAATCTTGATGAATTCTATTAAAAGAGTTTGGGAAGATTTTCCAAAATGTAAAATTTCCTTATTTTGTCGAAATTTTGTTTTATGATTAAGCTTTAATTCTATAAAAAGTTTCAAAACTACATATCCTGCTTCTTAAAATGCACATGAAAATGAAAGAGAAAATTACTTTTAAACTTCAACATTAAAAGTTCTTTATTTTTCAATCAATTATCAACTAATAAGCTTAAACCATATCTTTAAGTTACAGAAAACTTAGGAATTACAAATAAGTAATAGCACGATGGAACTGTTTACTCGCCACAAACTATAATGTTCAAATTTCTATATTTTTGAAACTAGATGGAGTAAACCTTAGATATCCTTAAAGGGAGTGACTGGCAATGTATGGTAGGTGAACTGAGAATGCAGTTTTATAAAGAAATTCTTTAGGATTCATTTGAGAACTTTCAGACGTTTTTACGGTGCATATTTTTTCAGCAAGAATGCAAATTCAATTTTTTAAATCCTCCTTCATTGTGCATTCTAAAGAGACGACTTTGAAAATCGGGTTTTTAAAAACTATTCAATCACAAGGACGAAAAATGTAACCAAAATTCTAAAGTAGACTATTATTTGGATATTTGGGAACATATTTTCAATAGAAATTGGTCAAAAAATCATTGTTAGAATCATTTTTTTTCTTTTCAATATTATATTGAATTTATTCGCAGATTTCTTCAAAATCTTCAAATGTCGTCTTTCCAATAAAAATTGCAGGAAATTATACATAACATGATTTAAAGAATGAGATATTACAAAAACTAATAACTGAAAAAGATTAGTTAATTTCGATGATAAGAGTTAATTTTCATTTTCTCAATCTGTTCCTAAACAAATTGTTAGTTAACTGTCGAATTGTTGTTACATTTTTCGTGGTCGTCATTAAAACATTAAAAAAGCGATTATCATAATCATACCTCTAAAATGAACAATCTATTAGGATTTTAAATATTGAATTTGCGCTCTTACTGAACAAATTTGCACTGTAGAAGCATTGTCGGTTACTCCCTTTAAACTTTGACTATTTGATATACAGTTTGAAATATTAAAGGTCTAAAAATAGATATCAGGTTGCAAAGATGTAAGGATTTGAGGTGAGAAATTACTAAGTAGTTCCTTTGCGATTGTAAATTATAAACATGAACTTTACGATGTTTAAAGTTATACCTTTAATTAAAGTTGGCCTATTATATTATCTTTAGTTTTTTAGTTTGAAAAAAATGTGCTTCCTTTATATTTTGGGTGTGGACCCAAAAACACGTTGCATATTATACAAATGTTATTACAGTATTTTGTTTTTCTCCTTATATGCTGATTGCAGCATTTTATTTTATTAATTTTTGTGATTTTTTTCAAAATATTTGAAACCAACTCAATATAATTATCAATGCAATTGTTTATATTCATATATTTTTAACAGTGTATAACACTTTTAAATGAAAGAATATAATTATAAAACGATTTTAGTTTAAATTTAACATTCTTAAAGATTAAATAATTTCTGTGCAAGTATAAGAAAATTAGGATTATTTGATTACATTTTAGAAATTTAAAATGCTTTTATTCTTCTAAAAATTTCTTTAGAAAATGAGCTTGATATGAATGAAAACTTCTAAATTTCAATCTAACATTGGCTTTGATTTGAGTTGCTTTTCTCTCTGATTTCCCATTAGTCAGCTTTCTGGTTTTTGACATTTAACAGATTTCGTAGAATATTAATTTCTGTGTTCAGCTAACAATTAGAATAGGTTAGTTCTAGCATTCTGAGCAGTTTTTAAAAATTTCGTCTGCTTCTTTCTGAAAATATATATTCAAGAGCATCATTTTATGTGTTCATTGTAAAACTTTAAAAACAGTTTTCCAGTTTTGAAGCAATTGATGGTTAATTTTTTTTGTGTGGAAAAATGCAGGTGATCATGGGTTTTAATAATCTAATTAGTCAAAATCGACGAGATGAATATTTGAATTTAGTCAGAAGTGGCCCAGGCGAAACTCAAGCGAAAACTTAAGCTTCAATTTTTATTCTTATGCTTTTGAGTCTGAAAGATCCCCTGAAAAATATTAATTTATTATGTAATTCGCGCATTTTCTGTTTTTGATAAAATCAATTCACATAAGTGTAAGAAGAAATTCTGCACAAATTATGTAAGAAAGTCACAGGGACAAAAGTATCTGGGAAAAAGACCTGGAAATAAAAACTTTGGTAATAAAGTACCAATTTTCGAAAGTCCGAGGACAAAATGATACTGGAAGTAAAGTTTTAACTTCCTGGGACTTTTTTACTAAAATAATATGGGGGCTGCCAATATAATTAAGTCTTTAATTAAGTTCTTTCCTTTTTCTTTAAAATGTTACGAAGAGTTTTCTAATTAATTCTATTGTACTGTACTGTACTGTACTGTACTGTTTAAAGAACGGTATAGAATACCTGGCACTGGTGACAAGATTCAATCTTATTATGTACACATTTCTTGGAGTCCCAGGGTTCAGCATATTCAGGAGAGTTTCCAGGAAACAACATATTCTCCGGGTTCAGGAGCAGATTCAGGTTCGGGAGATCACCTAGAGCACCAGGGTTCAGGAGTATACCTAGAGTACCAGGGTATAGAAGACTGCCCAGATCACCAGGAATTAGGGGACCAAAGTACCAGGGTTCAGGTGACTACTTAGAGCACTAGGGTTCAGAAGGTTACCTAGATTACTAGAGTTCAGAAGCCTATCTAGAGTACCAGGGTTCAGGAGACTACATTAAGCACCAGGGATCAGGAGACTATATGGAGTACCATGTTTCAGGAGACTACCTGGAGTACCATGTTTCAGGAGACTACCTAGAGTACCATGTTTCAGGAGACTACATTGAGCACTAGGGTTCAGGAGACTACCTAGAGTACCAGGGTTCAGGAGACTTCCTAGTGAACCAGGGTTCAGGAGACTGCATTGAGCCAGGGTTCAGCTGAAACTATCTAGAGTACCAGGGATCAGGAGACTACCTAGAGTACCAGTGACAGGGAGACTATCTAGAGTACCAGTGATCAGGAGACTACCTAGAGTACCAGGGTACAGGAGACTTACTAGAGTACCAGGGATCAGGAGACTGTCTAGAGTACCAGGGTTCGGGAGACTACTTAGAGTATCAGGGATTAGGAGACTACCAAGTGTACCAGGGTTCAGCTGAAACTATCTAGAGTACCAGGGTTCAGGAGACTACCTAGAGTACCTGGGATACCAGGGTTCAGAAGATCTTCCTGAGCGTCATGGTCCAGGGAAAGGGTTGATATTTTGGATTGTACTGGAAGAATGAGGCTGGGGATATTTGGTGCTTTATGTCGTCTATGCTTCAAGGAACAAACAGAGGCCGTAGAGGACGTAAAGGATGTCTAAAAAAAACAAGATTTTTTAAAACAAATATTTTTTAGAAAAACACGAATTGTTAAAAAAGTTTTCATTAAAAACTAAATATTTAGGATTTGATTTAAAAGGATTACCATTATTGGAATATTACTATCAGATTTTGATTCTGAACTCAAGGATCGCAAAGGATGTATGATGGTCTGGTCTGCTCCTTCAGTATAATCTTGTACTGTTCCAACCAGTTTAAGATTCTCCAATACACTAGATTGAACTGGACTCAACTGTCCTCTCCTCGGATTGAAGGGTCTAGGGGAGAAATAAAGTATTAAAGATGAAATTAAAACCGTTTGATTAAACTGGTTTAGAATCTTTCTAAAATAAAGGAATTGAGTCTTTGCCACAAATCCCAATTTTCTAATACCTATATCTCTAAAACCAGATGGCGTAAACCTTTGATATTTCAAACTTTGATTATTTGATCCATCAGAACTCATAGTTTGAAATATCTAGGGTCTACAATATTGAGTTGTAGAGATAAAGGGATTAAAAAATCAGAGTTTGTGGCAATGACTCAATTCCTTTACGTTTATCCAGCAAAGGCCGGGATAACTAGATAGTTCGGGAAAAAGTAGTTTCAATACTAAGCTGGCATTAAGAACTTAAACAAGATTTGCTGAAACCAATTTTTCCAAGAGTAAAATCTAATTAAAAATCACTTCAACAAAACTGACCAAGTCGGCTCTAACTTTAAGCACTAGAGTTTAGACAATTGGATTAAGACTCGAGACTTACTTCGCAGCCTCTGACAGATATACATATAAATGAAATTGAAACTCAATCTTAAACTCTAAAATGATTAATATTTGTTTTGTTTGCCAAGATACGTGAAAATGTAAATTTGTTGAGACCTAACTTAGGCAGCGTTTTATAGTTTTACTTGTGGTGTTTGTGAACTGCATTGAATAAACTAACAAACTTTTTAAACCCGTAAACATTCTGATACCTGGATATTCTGATACCTGAATATTCTGATACAGCTGGATATTCTTATACCTGGATATTCTGATACCTGGATATCCTGATACCTGGATATTCTGATACCTGGATATCCTGATACCTGGATATTCTGATACCTGGATATCCTGATACCTGGATATTCTGATACCTGGATATCCTGATACCTGGATATTCTGATACCTGGATATCCTGATACCTGGATATTCTGATACCTGGATATCCTGATACCTGGATATTCTGATACCTGGATATCCTGATACCTGGATATTCTGATACCTGGATATCCTGATACCTGGATATTCTGATACCTGGATATCCTGATACCTGGATATTCTGATACCTGGATATCCTGATACCTGGATATTCTGATACCTGGATATCCTGATACCTGGATATTCTGATACCTGGATATCCTGATACCTGGATATTCTGATACCTGGATATCCTGATACCTGGATATTCTGATACCTGGATATCCTGATACCTGGATATTCTGATACCTGGATATCCTGATACCTGGATATTCTGATACCTGGATATCCTGATACCTGGATATTCTGATACCNATATTCTGTAACCTGAATATGTTGATACCTGGATACTCTAATACCTTGATATTTGTATTCTTGGATATTCTGTAACCTGGATATTTTGATACCTGGATACCCTAATACCTTGATATTTTATTCTTGGATATTCTGTAATCTTGATATTTTGATACCTGGATACTCTAATACCTTGATATTTGTAATCTTGTATATTCTGTAATCTTGATATTTTGATACCTGGATACTTTAATACCTTGATATTTTTATTCTTGTATATTCTGTAACCTGAATATGTTGATACCTGGATACCCTAATACCTTGATATTTTATTCTTGGATATTCTGTAATCTTGATATTTTGATACCTGGATACTCTAATACCTTAATATTTGTGATCTTGGATATTGTGTAACCTGGATATTTTGATACCTGGATACTCTAATACCTTGATATTTGTAATCTTGGATATTGTGTAACCTGGATATTTTGATATCTGGATACTCTAATACCTTGATATTTGTAATCTTGTATATTGTGTAACCTGGATATTTTGATACCTGGATACTCTAATACCTTGATATTTGTAATCTTGTATATTCTGTAATCTTGATATTTTGATACCTGGATACTCTAATACCTTGATATTTTTATTCTTGTATATTCTGTAACCTGAATATATTGATACCTGGATACCCTAATACCTAGATATTTCCATTTTTGGATATTCTGTAATCTTGATATTTTGATACTTGGATACCTAATACCTTGATATTTGTATTCTTGTATATTCTGTAACCTGAATATGTTTATACCTGGATACTCTAATACCTTGATATTTGTATTCTTGGATATTTTGTAACCTGGATATTTTGATACCTGGATACTCTAATACCTTGATATTTGTATTCTTGTATATTCTGTAACCTGAATATGTTGATACCTGGATACTCTAATACCTTGATATTTGTATTCTTGGATATTCTGTAACTTGGATATTTTGATACCTGGATACTCTAATACCTTGATATTTGTATTCTTGTATATTCTGTAACCTGAATATGTTGATACCTGGATACTCTAATTCCTTGATATTTGTATTCTTGGATATTCTGTAACCTGAATATGTTGATACCTGGATACCCTAATACCTTGATATTTGTATTGCTTGTATAGTCTGTAACCTGAATATTTTGATACCTGGATACTCTAATACCTTGATATTTGTATTCTTGAATATTGTGTAACCTGGATATTGTGATACCTGGATACTCTAATACCTTGATATTTGTAATCTTGGATATTCTGTAACCTGGATATTTTGATACCTGGATACTCTAATACCTTGATATTTGTATTTTTGAATATTGTGTAACCTGGATATTTTGATACCTGGATACTTTAATACCTTGATATTTTTATTCTTGTATATTCTGTAACCTGGATATGTTGATACCTGGATACTCTAATTCCTTGATATTTGTATTCTTGGATATTGTGTAACCTGGATATTTTGATGCTACTTTTCTCTTGATTATGTCTGCAGATGAGGAATACTTTAAAGCAGATGAGGAATGCAACCGCAAGAAAAGTGACAAAAACTATGAAGAGAGTAGCTCCATCTACAATCCCTACAGCTCCTTCAGCTCCTACAGCAGTTGTGCCTACACCAGTTGCGATAACAGATACTGTTGCGTGCTTGTACTGGCATCTATATATATAAAGTTGTAATCTCTGTTTGTCTGTATGTATCTTCGATCATAACTCAGAAACCCCATGAACGATTCGCCTCGAATTTTGATTGAAATCTTTTGAGAACCATGGGATTGTTTTATCCTAGATTTTAAGTTGAGTGGGTCCACTTTTATAGGTATAAATAGCTAAAATCGCAATTTCAGACCAAGCGCGGGTGAACGGCTGGAATAACTTTGATTAACATGGGCAACGCTGGGTTAACAAGCTAGTACAGGATAATCTATCTTTATTTATTTCTGGAAATTACATATTCGATAAAATCAAAATTATATATTTATCTAACCCATTATTCTGAACATTATAACATCTAGTTAGCTAAATTTAAAGTTGAACCAGTATACTGTATACATTTAACAACAAGTGATCTAAATCTAACGAAATATTTTATTTCCCAATAAACATGGAAATTAAGTGACGACTTTTATATCACGTCTTTGTTTCGTTAGGTATTCTTACGTAAGCATAATTTTAGTAGTATTTTAGTTCAAACAGTTAATAATTTAAATTAGTAGTCTTGGTTTGTCATTTCTGCACCTTCAAAATTGACGGAGAAATTAAGAAATCTGTCAGATCTTGATTTATTTGATTTCAACAAAACTCTTCAAATATTTAGTATTTCCGTCAATTTAAACAAAAACAAAGAAAGCAGACAACATTAAAGACAGCTCATAAGACGTACAGTATTTATTTGGATGCACTTTATCTCATTTATCAACATTTAGTAATTGAAGACGATTTTCAAGTCGTCTCCTAATTCCCATTTTTATTTGGACACCCTGTAATGTATATAACAACAAGTGAGCTCAATCTAACACAGAATTTTTATGTATTTAACAACAAGTGAGCTAAATCTAACACAGAATTTTATGTATTTAACAACAAGTGAGCTAAATCTAACACAGAATTTTTATGTATTTAATAACACAAGTGAGCTAAATCTAACACAGTATTTTATGTCTTTAACTACAATTGAGCTAAATATGACCAAATGTTCTGTGTATATAGCAAGAGTTGAGCTAGATATGAACAAATGTTCTGAGTATATAACAACAAGTGAGCTAAATCTAACACAGTATTGTATGTATTTAACAACAATTGAGCTAAATATGACCAAATGTTCTGTGAATTTAACAACAATTGAGCTAAATATGACCAAATGTTCTGTGTATATAACAACAAGTGAGCTAACTATAATTCAAAACCTAACCTTGCTCCTGAGAATCCGTCTGCGCATGAGCAAACAGCTTCCTGCTCACCTAAACCAAGGTTTACAAACATTTTAAATCTAGTTTTCCATTTTCATTTTACAATACGTACTTCAGGTCTATACGGTTTACTTGAAGTTTGAACATTTTGAAATAATCACAATTGAATACAGTGGGCCGTAAATCAAAAGATAGAAAGGTATTTTTTCTTAGATTTTCATAAATCAATAACTTGATGTTTGACATCAAATTGTTAATTTATTTTAAATTGATTTGCGGTCGTCATCCTTGACCACTTTATTGTTGCAACTATCCACAGTAGGACCCAGGGAATAAAGCAGTTGCTTAACTATTTAGGTCAAGACAGAAGTTTTACAGAATGAGTTCATGCTAATTTCAAGATGAAAAAATGCCTTTAAAAAGTGATTTAAGTAAATCTTTTATTTCAATAAATGTTTGGTCACTGACAGCCCTACAAAAATGTTTCTCTTCAAAAACATTAGACATTAAAAACCAGAACTTTAGCTCTGTTCTTGTTTGTACCTGGAGATATAAGAGCTATACTGCATCCTGCCCCATTCATACAGTACTCGGAGTTACATATATCTGAACCTCGACCCTTTACGTTTAGAGTGCTGGATAAACTGGCGCTACCTTATATATAAAATATATATTTAAATCATGCTAATTTGAAAAGCCTCGAAAATTAAATTTTTGCATTTAAGAAATTAGGAATGGTAAAAATGTGACCTGCTAGATTTTTGGCAACGCATCGATAAATCCCTAAACAAAATAATCAAATCTGGTTTTTTAAAAAAGAAGAAAAAAGTTTAATTATACCTGCTGTATCTGGGGTTCCAAGGATGTTGATTACTGACCCTTTATCCCCTGTCTTTATCCTGTAATAGGTTCAATATCCATGTAAACCTTTATCCCCTGTCTTTATCCTGTAATAGGTTCAATATCCATGTAAACCTTTATCCCCTGACTTTATCCTGTAATACGTTCAATATCCATGTAAACCTTTATCCCTTGTCTTTATCTTGTAATAGGTTCAATATCCCTTTTAACCTTTATCCCCTGTCTTTATCCTGTAGTATGCTCAATATCCCTTTAAACCTTTATCCCCTGACTTTATCCTGTAATAGGTTCAATATCCATGTAAACCTTTATCCTCTGACTTTACCCTGTAATAGGTGCAATATCCCTTTAAACCTTTATCCCCAGTCTTTATCCTGTAATAGGTTCAATATCCCTTTAAACCTTTATCCCCTGACTTTATCCTGTAATAGGTGTAATATCCCTTTAATCCTTTATCCCCTGTCTTTATCCTGTAATAGCCGTAATATCCCTTTAAACCTTTATCCCTTGTCTTTATCCTGTAATAGGTGCAATATCCTTTTAAACCTGTATCCCCTGTCTTTATCCTGTAATATTTTCAATATCCCTTTAAACCTTTATCCCCTGACTTTACCCTGCAATAGGTTCAATATTCCTTCAAACCTTTATCCCCTGACTTTATCCTGTAATAGGTTCAATATCCCTTTAAACCTTTATCCCCTGACTTTATCCTGTAATAGGTGTAATATCCCTTTAATCCTTTATCCCCTGTCTTTATCCTGTAATAGCCGTAATATCCCTTTAAACCTTTATCCCTTGTCTTTATCCTGTAATAGGTGCAATATCCCTTTAAACCTTTATCCCCTGTCTTTATCCTGTAATATTTTCAATATCCCTTTAAACCTTTATCTCCTGACCTTATCCTGCAATAGGTTCAATATACCTTCAAACCTTTATACCCTGACTTTATCCTGTAATAGGTTCAATATCCCTTAAAACCTGTATCCCCTGTCTTTATCCTGTAATATGTTTAATATTCTTTTAAAACTTTGTATCCTGTCTTTATCCTGTAATAGGTTCAATATCCCTTTAAACGTTTATCTCCTGTCTTTATCCTGCAATAGGTTCAATATCCCTTTAATCCTTTATCCCCTGTCTTTATCCCGTAATAGGTTCAATATCCCATTAAACCTTTATCCCTTGTCTTTATCCTGTAATAGGTGCAATATCCCTTTAAACCTTTACCCCCTGTCTTTATCCTGTAATATTTTCAATATCCCTTTAAACCTTTATCCCCTGATTTTATCCTGCAATAGGTTCAATATCCCTTCAAACCTTTATCCCCTGACTTTATCCTGTAATAGGTTCAATATCCCTTAAAACCTTTATCCCCTGTCTTTATCCTGTAATATGTTTAATATCCCTTTAAACTTTTATCCCCCGTTTCTATCCTGTAATAGGTTTAATATTCTTTAAACCTTTGTCTCCTGTCTTTATCCTGTAATAGGTTCAATATCCCTTTAAACCTTTATCTCCTGTCTTTATCCTGTAATAGCCGTAATATCCCTTTAAACCTTTATCCCTTGTCTTTATCCTGTAATAGGTGCAATATCCCTTTAAACCTTTATTCCCTGTCTTTATCCTGTAATAGATTTAATATTCCTTTAAACCTTTATCTCCTGTCTTTATCCTGTAATAGGTTCAATATCCCTTTAAACCTTTATCCCCTGACTTTATCCTGTAATAAGTTCAATATCCCTTTAAACCGTTATCCCCTGTCTTTATCCTGTAATAGATTTAATATTCCTTTAAACCTTTATCTCCTGTCTTTATTCTGTAATAGGTTCAATATCCCTTTAAACCTTTATCCCTTGTATGTATCCTGTTGGTGGATATTGCCTTATTTCCTAATACTGTCGGATTGGTTTAGCTCCGTACCCCTTTGGAACCAGGAGAACTGAACCCTTGGATAGAACCCAGAAGATAACTTGCAGTTTATCCTTCTCCATCTAGTTAAATACAGAGTTATCAGTGGTATGCGATTATATCACTACAATGATGACGATTCTTTAAAAAAGTTTTAATTGTTACAACAAGCTTTTTACGAATTACAAGTTTATAGGTAATTAAAAAGAAGATTTTTAATTGACAGCGTCTCTTTTTTCCATGTTTATTTAAATTAAAATCGAACGTCGTCTTCATTATATTGATATTTGCGACGACAACTGTAAAACAAATTTTGATTTTACAAACGACTTTCTAGAATTTATTCAATCTTTACATCCATGAAGCCCTGCAGACAAATTATCTTTTTTTGGAATCAATTATGTGTCCAACTTTTGTTTTTGGAGGAAAAAAAGAACCCAACCCTAGTGGTGTGTGGGAAAATAATTTGTAAACGTCTTTTTATAATCATAGTCAGTCTTTTTAAAATATCTTACAGTCAAAATCTTTAAAAAAGTATTATTTTATTAAAATACACTATAAATGTCGTCTTCAGTTGCGATATATTTAGAAACATACAACCTTTTGATAGAAACTGTATTCTGAGCTTTCACAGGTTTCAGACGGGGGATATTTGAACAGGATTTGCAGAACATTTTGTGAATAAGAGTCCTCATTTTCTTAGAATACTTCTCCGGAGAATCTAAACCTTGCGCCATTTTAACATCTAAAGAAATTTCAAAGGTTATTGTGAATGTCGTCTTCCAGAATTTCAAACTTGCAAATTTGGAATCCAGTTTGGAATACAGTAAGGTTGTTTTGTCTGATGTCTCATGGACACAAAATTGGCATTAACATTTTCAAGGGGATGTTCCCCTTCCCCCTTTACCCAATAAGCTGGCTCTGCACTGAAAATTACTCCATTACCTTGCATTTGATAAGAATTGACGGTAAAGATGTATTTTGATCTAGTTCTAACTTTATCACACAGTCGTCCATCATAGCTAATCACAATCTTATCATTCTTTTTGATAAGCCCGTGCTCCGTTTTAGGTTTCTTGTTCTCCGGGTATGTTTTAATAACTCTCCTCACTCTAACAGTAACCAATGTATGTGTATTATTCATTTTAACTTTTAAAAGTTTGGCAAGAAGAACTGTTTCCGACTTGAAGAGGGATTCGGATGTGTCAATTTTGCACGTTGAGTTAATTCTATTTCCTGAATAAATAATTGTTTAAATTTTGTTGACACATGGTAGAAATAGATACCTGCAAAATTTTATTAGCGCTGTTGCTTTACAGTGTGTCCCAAAAAACAATGGAATTAAGTGACGACTCATAAAATATCGTTTTTGATTCACAAAATATTTCCAGTTCCAGTTAAAAACAGTATACCAGAAACTCTCTCCAGAATTCAATTTTTAAAATCAAAACAGTTTAAATCATAAATTAATAAAAATATAGAACACTATATGTCGTCTTTTCAAGATATTTCGTTCACAATAACCCTGAGACAGAGGCTCAAAAGAGTTGCGCGTTTGCCGCGTTGAATTACAAGACAGAGACAGTGCGTAACTCCTTTGGGCTTCTGCCTCAGGGTTATTGTGAACGAAAAACCCCTAAATCTTGAAAAGATGACATCTATTGTTATATCTGTATTGTTAATTAATCTATGGTTTAAATATTCAACAAGAAAAAGTCGATTTCCTTGTTTTTTGTTACAACCATGGTGTTTTATTAAAGTTAGGGAAATGGTTAAAGATAATTGAAGCAACAAACGTAAAGTTAGATATTATTCTATCTTTTGTTGAAGAAAGGAATTGAGTCTTTGGAACAAAATCAAATATTTAAACCGCAATAGCTTTAGAACTCGATGTTGTAAACCTTTAAAGCTTCAAACTCAGATTATTTGATCTAACAGAATTCATAGTTTGAAATATCTAAGGTATGCAACATTCGGTTCCAAAGATATAGTGATTAGAAAATCAGAGTTTGTGGCAAAGACTCAATTCCTTTGGATATAAAAAATATGGATATTAATTAATGATTAATCCGTGATTAATTGAGTAAGGTTAGGAGTCATTCATTACAAACTTCACTCTTAATACTGAACAAACAATTAAACAAGAATTAAAGTGAGACAGGTGTTAACAATTTCATAAAACAGTTAATTTTTACAAATTTTTCTTGTTTGATGATCAAAAGCAATTAGAAACTGAATAGAAAGTTTTGGAATATTATTTACAGTAAACTAATAAATACTTTTCTGCAAAAAAAAATAATTTTATCTTTATGAAACAATAATTCTAGCAATTTAAGAAAAAATTATTTTTTGCGTTAGTTCTGTACTGTACGTCGCGTATTCAACTAAACGTTTTAGTGAATTTTCCCGAATACTGAACAAATAGAAAAATAAACATTTTGAATTTTGTTGGCGATACATTTTTAGAGATTAAATTAGATATACCAGGATTACAATTTAAAATTCTATGCTGTACATATTTCATAGTATACTGTATATATTTCACAGTATACTGTATATATTTCATAGTATACTGTATATATTTCATCGTGTACTGTATATATTTCATAGTATACTGTATATATTTCACAGTATACTTTTATATATTTCACAATTTACTGCATATATTTCACAATATACTGTATAGAATTCACAGTATACTGTATATAATTTACAGTATACTGTATATAATTCACAGTATACTGTATATATTTCACAGTATACTGTAGTGTATATAAGTCTAAATGGACCCTCCATTTATAGAGTGTTACATGTCTAAATCACAACAGTACCTGATCAAGGCCGGATGTCAGACATACTTTCATTAATCTACAGTACAAATTAACTTTTTTTATAAACTAGTCTCGTCTAACAAGAAAGTTTGGAAAATAAATGTTGAACTTTGAAATTAAAATTGATTTTAAAAATATATCTAGTCTACAAAATATCCACAAAAAGACCTTCGTATTCTCAAGCGCTTGTAGAGACTCGAGTCTTAGGCTGGATGCTGATTGGTACAGCTTTGACCAATGAGAGATGCTTTCAGAGCTGTTCCGCATATGGTCAGCATAATCAGCTGATAGATTCAGCTTTCCCCAGTGTAAATTTCAAAAATTCAAAATTAAGTATGTACATTGATTCTGATTGAGCCAAATAGATTCTAGTACAATAGATGGCAACGTAGAATTTGTACACTCTCAGTACAGCTGTATTCTGACGTCACAAGTGTCAATTCAGTTTTGTGTCCGACAAAATTATTAATAATAGTAATAGTTTTAGAATAAAGTGCTTATGTTACAGTAAAATAAGTGCAATTTTATGTATTCTTTATTTTTTGGTGTTACACTTTTTTATCTAATCTTGGAAAGCATTTCAACAAATGAGATACAATTTCGTTTTTCTTGTTATATTTGACACTTATGACGTCTTGTATAATTGATCCATTTCTCTGTTGCCACCTATTGTACTTGATAATCTATTTGGATTGAGCTAAATACCCCCCCCTCTCTCTTCCTAATACTTTCCCCCCTACTTATTGGACGAAACACCTCAAATTGTATGATTTAAAAATTATATCATACAATTACATCCGGGTTTGCCATTAAAGACGGCCAATGTTGGCTTGGCAAATCCTGTCATTAAGTGTTAGTTTAAAGAATATATCTATGTAAAATTATGTACTTTAATGATAAATACATATCTATCTAGCTACATTACTTCCATAGTGTGTTTATTCTATAAATCCAAAGCCTAGATCACGACCCTATTACACCAGGAAAAATCTCCGATTGAACATTATTCCATAGAGAATATTCCCTGGATTGAGCTAAGGAATGGTACTCCCCTATTACAGAAAGAGAAAATACGATATGAAAAAGACCCTCTTTCTCCTGTTTTATACAGTAAACCTAGAAAAAGGTTCGTATATAAGATCCTTTACTAGTAAACTGCACATTTCACAGTTGAGCTGTTGTTCATTTTAAAAGAAAAAATGAGAGAAATATTTCTATTTCAAAATTAATTTAATTCTACAGTTTTTACCCTAATTCTAAACTTTTTAATCTTATTTATTTAGATGTATTTTAAAATGATCCGTCATAAAAAGTTTTTGTTACACTAATGGGACATAAAGTAAAGTTGAAACTAGATTGTATAGATATTTATATTTGTACACATTTTTTCTGAATACAAAGGAATCAATTATTAATAATTTTGAAGACAATAATAATTTTGATGCTAACACTTGTTAAAGTCTTAATTTTTAAGCTGTTTTATATTTGAACTTAATTTCGATGATAAGAGTTCGTTTTTTTGCTGAACCAGTTTGTAGAATATTTTTTGTTATATGTTACGTCGGGGTTATTAAATAATTGAAGAAAAAAGGTTCTTCTTATGACCAACCAGGGAGTAAGGAATAGAAGGGAGATTTAACTGAGGCGGTTCGCCCTACCATATGATTATAATGCTTTTCAGACGGTACTCCATTTGTATATGAAATATTCAGAAAAGGTTATTGTATGCGCGGTAATTGTACATCAGACAAATATTTCTTACACAAATGAAGTACCGTCTGCAAGCATGTAATCATATTGTAGGGCGAACCGCGTCAGCTATTATATCTCCCTTCTATTCCTTACTCCCTGTGACCAACCCATGTCCGGTAAAACTTTATAAACGAAATTAAGCTCTTACAATAGTAAATAAATTAGTAATTTGAAATTGTTCACTGCATAACTTTCAATACGTTTATCAACATTCCAATAAATCATATTTTCATTTGCACAAATGCGGCCAAGAAACTGTACAAAAGGGATGGATTAATAAAAAATGGCAAATTATTTTTTTCTTTCACAGTCCCCGCCCTTGCATTTAATTTCGTCTGAATAAAATTGTTAAACTGAAAACTATTGGTAACAATACCTTGAGACCTTCTGGCCGCTGAAAATGTTGAAAGGCTGAGAAAAACAAGAAGGAAAACCACCATCTTTTTCATTTTATCTCCTTTTTTCAATTAATTTGCGGGATTTCTTTTTATATTTTATATTTGAACAAGGCAACACTTCATTTTTCTCTAGTAATTGACTGCTTGTTTTAAACATAAGTCCTAACACTGCTTGAGATTGTAGAACACTGAATATATCATCTGTGAGAAAAGATAAGAAATATCAAACATAGTAAATATCAGAGAAATGTGCAGTTATCAATAATAAGAATGAATCAGAAATAAATTTTTATTTTATTCATTGATTAAAGTAAAAACATAAAGATATCTATTCTAAATATTTTTCAATAAATTACATAATTCTGCATCTGTTCAATAGTTTCTTCCGTTTGTTTTCTTCCACAGGCAGGCATATATTGTGATCAATCCTAGACACATTTAGAAATATATTGTGATGAACCCTAGAAAAATATAGAAATATAATGTGATCAATCCTAGACAAATATAGAAATATATTGTGATCATTCCTAGACAAATATAGGAATTTATCGTGATCAATCCTAGATAATTATAGGCATATATTGTGATCAATCCTAGACAAATATAGAAATATATTTTGATCAATCCTAGACAAATACACTAATATATTGTAATCAATCCTAGACAAATATAGGAATATATTGTGATCAATCCTAGCCAAATATGGAAATATATTGTGATCAATCATGGACAAATATAGGAATATAGTGTGATCAATCCTAGACAAATATAGAAATATATTGTGATCAATCCTAGACAAATATAGGAATATATTGTGATCAATCCTAGACAAATATACTAATATATTGGGATCAATCCTAGACAAATATAGGAATATATTGTGATCAATCCTAGACAAATATAGAAATATATTGTGATCAATCCTCGACAAATATAGGAATATATTGTGATCAATCCTAGACAAATATAGGCATATAATGTGATCAATCCTAGACAAAAATAGAAATATATTGTGATCAATCCTAGAAAAATATAAGAATATATTGTATCAATCCTAGACAAATACAGGAATATATTGTGATCAATCCTAGACAAATATAGACATATATTGTGATCAATCCTAGACAAATATAGAAATATATTGTGATCAATCCTAGACAAATATAGGCATATATTGTGATCAATCCTAGACAAATATAGAAATATATTGCGATCAATCCTAGACAAATATAGGAATATATTGTGATCAATCCTAGACCTGAATATTGGAACTATAATAAACCTGAATATTGGAACTCTACTAAACCTGAATATTGGAACTACACTAAACCTGAAAATGGAACAAAACTAAACCTGAATATCGGATCTATACTAAACCTGAATATTGGAACTATAATAAACTTGAATAGTGGAACTATACTAAACCTGAAAATTAGAACTACATTACTAAACCTTAATATTGTAATTGTACTAAACCTGGATATTGGAACTATGTTACTAAACCTCAATATTGGGACTACATTACTAAACCTAAATATTGGAACTATACTAAACCTGAATATTGGAACTACACTAAACCTAAATAAAGGAACTATACTAAACCTGAATATGGAACTATACTAAACCTGAAAATTAGGACTGTAATAAACCTGGATATGGAACTACACTAAACCTGAATATTGGAACTATACTAAACCTCAATATTGGAACTAAAGTAAACCTGAATATTGGAAATATAGTAAACCTGAATATTGGAACTATAATAAACCTGAATAATGGATCTATACTAAACCTGAATATTGGAACTAAAGTAAACCTGAATATTAGAACTATACTAAACCTGAATATTGGAACAATACTAGACCTGAATATTAAACCTATCCTAAACCTGAATATTAGAATTATACTAAACCTGAATATTGGAACTCTAGTAAACCTGAATATTGGAACTATACTAAACATAAATATTGGAACTAAATTACTGGAACATTACTAAACCTAAATATTAGAACTATACTAAACCTGAATATTGGAACCTCGGGTAAAGATTTTCGTCTTGTTATCATTTTCTTTTTGGACAACTCAGAGCTGATCAATCAAATATGTTAAAATTAAAATTAATCTGCATTAAATTGTAAGCAAAATAATAACCGTTTTTATATCTCTTAATTAGGACAAATCATTTCTTTTTTAAATCCGTTCAAAACTCGCTCAGTCAGTTGCCCCATCTAGGTTTTATTCAAGTCGTCGGACATTCAATACTTTCTTTCGACATTTTTCTATTTCTTGGTGGATTTCCGGTACTTTTTAGGAACTAGACTGAAATCCATTCATTTAAAGATTCAGGCAGCTTTGATTGTACTTCATAATGGGCCGTAAAATGAAAAGTATACAGGTTCTAAGGTCACAAAGTTGTACTATACTAATTGTAGTGAAGTAGAATTAAAACTATTTGTTCCTAAAGCTTGTATCTTCTTTCTGTGGAGGGCTGGGGGATTTACATCTAAAATATTTTAAATACTAATCCCTCCCCGGGAAAACATATTGAAATATTAAAGAAGATAATTCCTAGATTATTTGAATAGTAAATCTTCTCTTCCTTAAATACTGTAAGTTTACTCACCAGTAGTATTCATTTAATATAAAAAGATTGTTCACTTGTTTGGAAACGAATGAAAAGTACCAACTATTAACTGTTAATCCTTTCAATATTTAATATAAAAAAATAATAAATATAATTACATAAAATTATGGTTAACCAATTAATTTTATTTTACCATTTTTTTCCGCTATTATAATCCTTCATCTTTAGAGAATAAATAGAAGACTCATTACTTAAACCATCATTTGTTTCAATAAAGGGGCTGTTCACTCATTTGAAAACGGACACCCTAAACTAAGCTTTCTTTGTGTACTGCATTGATTTGCAGCATTTTGACCAAAGAAATTGTGGAGCTTAGTGGAGAGTTGGGTGTGTTGAATTTTGCAAAACATATAATGGTACAAAACGTCGAAATACATGAAGTCGAACCTACAAAATGTTGAATTGTGAGAAGAAACCCTGTCAACCATACATTTTTATTTTACAGATTGTTTTTATCTAAAACATTAAATGAAATTTTCAATTTTTCCTGCCTTCCTGCTTCAAACTCAAATTGTATGTCTGTGGCGGAAGACGATCCCAGGCTGGAGAGATAACTGAACAGGGCTCACAGGGCAAGGGGATTCACGTTGGAACACGATGATATACTTTCCACATTTCATATTATATAGTTTTTTAAAGTTCGTTAATAAAATTAAGACTTGAAACTTTGTCTTATTGGGCGTGACCCAAAGTTTTGTTTATCTATAGTTGGCGACAGACAGTTTTCCACTATAGATGTTTAAAGTTACACGCTCAGTAATAATGCCTAAAAGTTAAAGTGTTTCAGTCCCAACTGAATTCAGCTCTTTGGACCTGATGAACATGGTGTCCGTTAAAGTGCCTGCGTTTTTGCCTGATTCCGCAGAAGCGTGGTTCATCCAAATCAAAGCACAGTTTGCTCTTAAGGGAGTCACCGCGAGTTTCACGAAGTTCCACTACTGTGTTTAATCCTTCAACCAAAAGACTGCAAACCAGGCTCTAGATCTCATCAAGTCTCCTCCCTCTGACAAACCTTGTAAAGCCCTGAAGAGAAGGTTGTTGAAGCTGTTTCCCCTCGATGATTTCCAGAGGTATGAAGCTATATCCAACCTGCCCTTGACTGGCGACATGAAGCCTTCTAAGCTCATGTCAAGTAAGTTATACCCTTCTCCCTGTTGGTCATAAACCTTGTTTATTCCTCCGTGGAGCCTTCCTCAAGCGTTTACCATCCGACATATATGCCCATCTACTCAGAGACGATTTCTCCAATCCCATCATACAGGCTGATGCAATTTATCAGAGTAGAGCTCCTCCTCTTCAGTTTTCTCCATCTCCAACATTCCAGACGAGCAGCATTCCCTCAATGCTGTTAAGTCTTCATCAAACCAGCCCTGACGTTCAGCTCCTCCACATGCCAACAACCACCAGGACAGCTGTTCTCAGTCTCCTTCCTACATTTTGTTGTTGCCATCGTTCATGCTGATCACAAGCCAAGAAGTGCCGAGCTCCTTGCTCCTAGTCGGGAAACTAGTTCGTCGACAGGAGGATGTGCGTTCCCTACCTACCGGTTCCTCTACTCTTTCTCCTCTAGTCTATCTTCAGGATTCACTCAGTTCCAGGTGGTTTCTAATAGATTCTGGAGCTTCAGTTTTGATTTTTCCATCACAACCCTCTACCTCAAGATTTGGTGTCAGCCTGCTTACTGCGGACGGTTCTTCTCTCTCATGTTCCAGTTCACTCATAATTCCGAAACCACAGGTTTGATTGACCTTTTCAACTAGCTCTGGTATCGATTCCTATCCTGGGAGATGATTTCTTGAGTCATTTCAACCTTTACGTAGACGAATCCAACCAGAGAGTTTTCAGTGCTGATTCTCCAACTTCTCTGTCCATCATTCTTCCAACTTCACCAGATCCCGCTTCAGCTCCTCCCAGAGCTAACCTCCTGGCTACTCCGAAATGTATCTCCAACCTCCTCTCCGAATTCCCTGATGTTGTATCCTCAGATGGATTTACAGCCTCCAAACCTTGTCAAGGAGTCAGCCATCATCTTCTCACACAGCCTGGTCCTCCAGTTTTTGCCAAAGCTTGGCGCCTAGACCCGGAGAAGTTGGCATCCGCCAAAGCTATGTTCTCTGCCATTGAGAAAGCAGGAATCATCTGTAGGTCTAACTCGCCGTGGTCCTCTCCCTTACATATGGTCCAGAAGAAGAACAGAGGTTGGTGTCCCTGCGGAGATTACAGGAGGTTAAACACAGTTACCATTCCAGATCGGTATCCACTACCCAACATAGCTGATTTCACAGCAAGAGTCAAGGGTTCCACTATTTTTTCAAAGCTCAATCTTCAGAAAGGCTATTACCAAGTCCCCATGGCCCTGAGGGCATCTGCACGACTGCCATCATCACACTGTTCAGCATGCTCAAATTTCTGAGACTTCCCTTTGGCCCTTAGGAATGCTGGGAACACCTTCCAGAGATTATTGGATTCCATCCTCGGAGATCTACCCTACAGTTTTACTTATGTGGATGATATCTTGGTGTTCAGCAGTAACTTGGATTCTCATGTG